ACCCGCGGCTCGCCCGCAGAGCGGCGCCCGAGCCAGGTTCTCGGCAGGTGAGCGCCCCGTGGCCCCGGGGAGGCTCGTCAGTCCGGGGGTCCGGGCCTGGTGGGGGAGGGGACAGCGGAGGGGTCCCGGGACTGCCAGGAGGGACCCTCTTCCTGGGACGTCCGGGGGAGGCGGCTCCCATCCGGCTGGAGACCCGGCATGGTAGGGGAAGAGGGGTGGACCACCTGTGGCAAGAAGGAAAAAGGGGGGAAAGGACATGGGATTTGAAGGGATACGAGTGGGATAGTCATGCTGTATTCCCAAGACCCCGAGGGAGAGAAGTTCGTCCCCAGGGAGGGAGACGGGGTGGCCTTGCGGTCTAGAGTCGAGGGGAGGACGTGTCCCTCCGGAGAGGAGGGGAGGAAGAACTTCGGTCATTGGGAGGGGGTGTCCTTACCTGCCCTCGGCTTCAGAGCGAGCCTCCTTATAGGCGGGGGAAGGAATTCAGCCAGGAAGGTGGGCGTCCGTCCTTCATGACTTAGACCTGTGGGTTTCAGGCTAAGGGGCCGTTTTCTCCCCTCCCAGGGATAGAAGGTAACTAGTGGATGTGCGGGCGAGCAGGTGGGCCAGGGTGTGCGCCAGAAGGGTGGTCTTTCGGGGTCCTCCCTAGATGAGCCACCCCGGCGAGGCATCGCGGGGCTTCGGGGACGCCCTCGGGAAGGGCTGCCCTCTCCCTGTACACACCTGGCGGGGGAGGAGCCGGGTCGGGGTGGCGCCGCCCTGCCCCGGTCACACTGCCTGCCCTGGGGGCTCACTTTCCATTTTTCCCCTTCCGGGATGAAGCTGGTCCCACTTCCCACACTCCGCAAACTGAGGTCTCAAAAGCTGTAGCACCACCTCCCAGAAGAACAGCATCCTTCTGATTGTAGGTGATGAGTCCCACTTCGCAGGAGAAAAAGTGGAAGCCAAGAGAGACTGTGGGGTGAACTTAGCAAGTTAGCAGCAGGGAACCGTTCTTGGGCCCAGGCTTTCCTGCTGGATTCACTCACCTGTGGCAAAGAAGGGCAGCCGTCTGGACTCAGCCCCAGGACTGTGCTTCGACCTCCAGCTTGCCTTTCCCCCTTATCCCCCGGCCTGAGAGACTGAGCCCTTGTGCTTCCTCATCTCCCCCCGCCCCCCCCCCAAGATGAGAGGGTGCATGAAGTAAAGACCGTTAAGGACGCTATGAGTTTTGAACCGCCTCCTGATTTGTGGGTGCTGTGGGTTTGGACTGGTGGTAATTTTGCTGGGGAGGGATATCCCTTCTGGTGCCCTCAGGTGGAGGGCCCAGGACACAGAGCTACCCCTGCCCTCCTCTCCAACACCTGCTGTGGCTTCTTGAGGCCACCCCCCACACCCCAATGGGTTTTAAGGTTGCCATGATTTTTCCAGGGTGGAAATGATGATAGGGCTGGTATACAGTAACCTTTCAAAGAAAGTCTGCCACTGTTAGCATTCTTGTGAGGTGAGCTGGCTGCCCTCTTTAAGGACATGCATAGGTCTTTGCATGTATTTAAATTTGTCCCACCAAGTCCATTTCCCTCTGTGGTTACAGTTACTACGTCTGCGAAATAGGAACAATCTTACTAATAACTCCAGGTTGGATAAGAATGAAATCAGTTTTATTCACGATTTAACCTCTAACCCTCCATATTCCTTAGGTGTCTGATGGGTGTAAATAGCCCCTACCACACTGGGTTTGGTAAGGGCTTGATGGGGTAGTGCTTGGTATATAGCATGTGATGAATGATGACATCTGTATTAGTTAACCGATCGCCCCTATTTTTAGGGTAACGATTAATGAGAACAGGAGTTGAAGGGAGGGACCTCTGCTGGCCCCGCCTATCCTGCCTTCCTCCTAGGTACTCTATTCCTCTCAGCTATGAAAGCTTTTCCAAATCATTGTCCTCAATTTGGGAGTTGGCAGGAAGGAACGCCTTTGTTCCCTTTTGAAAGGAGCCCGGGTTTTCTTTTAGGGGTTGGGGCCATTTTACCCCCCCACCAAAAGCTTGAGGCCTACCTTGGAGGCGTAATTGCAGAGCTAAGTGAGGTCCTTTACCTTACCCTGTTGGGGTGGAGAGGGCCCAGACAAAGGGGTTGGGGCTGGCTGCATCCTGCCCCTTAAAGCCATAGTCCTAGCCACCCCCCTTCAAAGGCTAGAAGGGGAGGGAGAGTATCTGGGAGCTGCAGGGGGTGAAAGGGAGGAGCAAGGGAGGTGGGAGGTGGGGAGTGGGGGAGGCTGCTTCCCTTCCTTTCCTTCCTCCAGCCACGTGGGGCCTGCCACCAAATGGTGCCTGTCACCCCTCATTATTGCAGCCCTGGGGACCTGCTTCCAATTTGGAGTGTGGGCAAGTTCTCCTTTCAGGAAAACTTACCTTAGGATTCCTTTTGTCTGGGACGCCTGGGCGGCTCAGTCGGTTAAGCGTCTGCTTTCTGCTCAGGTCATGATCCCAGGGTTCTGGTATCAAGTCCCACATCAGGCTCCCCGCTCAGCGGGGAGCCTGCTTCTCCCTCTGCCTATTTCTCCTCCTGCTTGTGCTCTTTCTCTGACAAATGAATAAATAAAATCTTAAAAAAAAAAAAAAAAAGAGGATTCCTTTTTTCTCAGACCAGCTCTCATGCCAGCTGTCCAGGCTTCAGGCTCAGACACCTTTTCCAATTTCATCAGAAATTAACTCCTCCTGGGTCCTGGGTCCTATACCATGACAAATACCCGCAGGCCCCCCCCACATCATCCAGCCCTTGGTAGGTACAGGGCCTCTGGCCAGAATCATTCTTGTGTTAGTGAGATGTTTGTTTTTGTTTTTTGAGATTTTATTTATTTGCAGAGAGAGACAGCCAGAGCAGAAACACAAGCAGGGGGAGTGGGAGGGAGAAGGAGGCTTCCTGCCGAACAGGGAGCCCAACGCAGGGATCAGTCCCAGGACCCTGGGACCATGACCTGAGCTGAAGGCAGACGCTTAACGACTGAGCCACCCTGGTGCCCCATGTGTTGTTTTTTTTTTTTTAATTGTGAACTCGGGTTGATTTTTCAGTTTCTTGGTGGACCAGAGAAGTGCAGAATTCCTCGTTTCATTAGCAGACCATCCTTTTCTTTGTAAAGTGATGGGCAGATTTGTCTCCCTTCTTGGTGGGGGCTGATCTCTTCCTCTTGTAGCTGATGGGACCAAGGTGCTATGCAGCCCGCTTGCTTCCGCACCTTGGTGGTTAGTGCTTTTCAGAACACTGCACATTTGCCGCCATCCCGGGGCAGTGCCTCCCTCCAGAAGAGAACAGCCCACTGCAGGTGCTCCTGTATCTGGCCGTGGCTGGAGGAAGTGGCCTGGTGAATGCAGAGCAAGCCTGCACATGGATCACATTTCTGGAGATCCTTGTTCCAATCTGTGAAGTGGGTAAAAGTCCACATCTACCCGGTGTAGTTATATCATCAGGACTAAATGGAATCCAGATCCTTTTATTTTAGTTGTTCATTCACAAAATAAAGGGGGGTCCCTAACCTAAGTACAGTTGACCCTTTTAACAACGCAGGGGTTAGGGACACTGCCTTCCTGCCCCCTGCACTTGAAAATCCAGTTTAACTTAACTCCCCCCAAGTTGAATAGCCTACTGTTGACCAGAAACACTACTGATAAGTCTGTTAACACATATTTTTCATGTTACATGTATTCTATAATTCTAAGAATAATACCTAACTTAATTTTTTTAGTATTTTTAGTCTTTGCAGTTCATCTGAGTTTTTTCAAATTATTGGAAGTCTCCAAAGTTTTCAATTATTTGCTGAAAAAAATCAATATATAAGACACATGTAGTTCAAACCCGTATTGTCAGCTGTATTACAAAAACCTGTTATCCCCTGGGTTATATTATCTGTCTGAGTCAACAAGGGGGTTTGGGGATTAGAATCAAGTCTGGATTCATGTATATACTCCATTTATAAGTCGCTGGCTTGATCCTCAGTTGCTCCATCTGTAAATTGGCCAACAGTGGTTGGCCAGTTGCAGGGGATGTTTAAGTCCGTTGAGTTGCTCTAGATTAAAAAATTCAGTAAATGTTGCATGTTACGGGGGCCCCTGGCTGGCTTAGTCGGAAGAACATGTGACTCTTGATCTCCTGTTGTGAGTTCAAGGCCTATATTGGGTGTAGAGATTACTAAAAAATAAAAAATACTGCATGTTATGTAGTAAACACTCAAATATTGGCAAGTGGTTATTATTTACTTCCTGAGGGAAATATCCCAGTGAGCATTCCTGAGTTTTTTCCAGGGAATAAGCAAAGAATGAGGAGGGCCTGCTTTGTGTAGGGAATTGAAATATTTAAAAAAATGACATTAAAGAAATATTTGAGGCAAGTGAAAATCAAATTTACCATCCTCCGATGCCAAGAAGAAACTAGTCATCACCTGTAATTTCATAGTCCGAAAGTAATCAATGTTTTGTTTTCATTTTGGGGCCTCTCCATTTCCATGTAGACAGGACCAGGAGGCCTTTTAAAAGAAGGGACTGGAACGCAAGGAGAGGACAGTGGCAAGGAAAGGTGGCTCAATTGGTGAGGTCCTTAGCACTATGGTCACCATTGGGGCTGCCTTCCCACGCAGCTGGAGGACAGTGTTGGAGGGCAGTGGGAAAAGATTCTCTGGAATCTGCCACCATTGGCTTCTGCTATTGTTTTTTTTTTTTACCAGCTTGCCTGATCAAAGTTGCCTCTCACTTCCCCCACAGAGATTTTCATTCATTAAAACCTTGCGATCTGTGGGCTCTGCCTTACTGCAAACCCCTGCCTGTCCTCTGCCTTCTCTCTCTCTCTGCTTTAGTTTTGTGTCTCAGGATCAAACTCTAATTTTCCAGGAAGTTGTCTTTTTTTTTAAATGTATTTATTTATTAAAAGATTTTATTTATTTTGACAGAGAGCACAGGTAAGCAGAGGCAGAGGCAGAGGCAGAGGCAGAGGGAGAGGGAGAAGCAGGCTCTCCGTCAAGCAGGGAGCCCGACATGGGGCTCAGTCCCAAGACCCTGAGATCACAACCTGAGCCGAAGGCAGACTTAACCGACTGAGCCACCCAGGCGCCCCTATTTTTGACTTAAAAAGGTTTTATTAGGGACAGAGGGAGCACAAGTGGGGGGGGGAGGGGCATACGGAGAGGGTCAAGCAGACTCCTCTCTGACTGCAGATCCTGACTCTGGGGCTTGATCCAGGACCCTGAGATCATGACCTGAGCTGAAGTCAGACCCTTACTCGACTGAGCCACCCAGGCACCCCGAAAATTGTCTTTTATAGTCTTTGAAATTTGTGGGAGAGTGGTAGCCATTGAAAGACTAGCAGGAAATAAATGGATTTCCAAAACTGACAGAATAGATGGGCGAGAGAGAGTTGTCTGCGGCTCAAGGTTCTTAACCAATACATTTCCATTAGAGGACAGGTTGATGCTGAGCGGGTGTGGGAGGAGGTCCAGCGGGAGGAGGCCTGACATGGTTGGGCCTGGTGAGGTTGAGAGAATACATTTCTTTTTCTTTTTTTTTTTTTTAA